AATGTGAATAAACAAGGCTACTGGAAGGGATCTCAGAAGTAATTATGTGGCATTGCCTTTCACAGACTATTCCTTAACACTCCTCTGCACGAGTTCTGAGTGTGCATTTTTTTATCATAAAATTGAGTGATTAAAGATAAATAAAAAATAATAAAGGTTGCAATTGAAATATTTTGGATTTACTGCTGCTCCAAATAAGTGGTGGATGGTGCTCATCTCGATTGAAGCCAGTGCTGGACATTCCAACTTTCTTGCAATCTTTACTTCACGTGGTACAAATCTTTCACTTAGTTTTCATTTGAGCAACCTATAATGATGATGTAATTATTGTATTGGGCAAAATGAATCGTGATTGGTGTATTATCATTAGCATTGCTATAAATTGTAATGTTTGCAGAAGAGAACACATGTAAATCTCTTAATTAGCTGCCACCACTCACTGCCAGGCAAACTATACACTCACGAGTTTGTGTCATGGCTCAGAGCCTGATTGGGCAGTTCTGTCTGAAGGTGGGGGTTACACGTTGGCATCACGGTGCGTGCTGAGTGCAAAAAGAACGCAGCATTCCCAGCCTGCCTCAGGATTCCTTGCCGTCTGCAGCGCAAAAATCTGCCCATTTTACCCCCAGACAATGATACATAAATTGTAACTTGATTTCAATGAATGCCACTTGGCAAAATGTTTGCGCTGCAGAATTATTTAAACGCCATGACCTTCAACCAATGCATAAACTGTCCTTATTAAATTTGACTCTCGCTGAGATTACAAATAAAGTAAACTTGCGATTTACGTTGATATTTAAAGCTGATGAGGAGACTCATAACGCAATGGAAATATTGAATGCTAGTCAAGACTGTCCCGATTGACATCCAATCTCAACAAATGTAACCTTCGGCTTTAGTATCTGACATGGATTGTTGATTGCATCTGGGCTTACTGAAACAATGTAGGTGATGTATTTGGCTCCTAATCCCAATCCCAGAAAAACTAAAAGATCTCCCTCACCATCTTCCAGGTTCTGCATAGACTTGTCCCTGCCTACCTCTACCATCTCATCTCGTTCTACTCCCCTTCATGTGCTCCCTGCTTCAGCAAACAACTCTTTGTGTCACTCCTCCTCTGGTGCACCACAGTCTGGAACTCCCTTCCTGTTTCTGTTGATGTCTTAGCTCACGCTATTCCCCCTCTCCTCTGCCCGACTCTCCCTTTGCTTCAGCATTATACTACACATACACCTCCTTGTTCCCCTGTGATACACATGTACGTTAATGCGTATACACAGGCCCAGTCCTACGCATGCGTGTATGGATACGACTATGCCATTGCTCAACTAAACATTTACCCAGTGGGCCAGTCGTGGTTGTACTACCTTCCTGTTAGTCCAAGCTCAATTCATGAATATAGCGAGTGGAAATTTGTACAGCACAGGAGGTGTTGGGATTGGGTGGTCGGTGGGTGGGTGGGTGAGGGAGGGGGGCTACGAGGAAAGATGATAATACAACAACAATGAATCATGGGAGTGGGGATGATATGCGACTAAAAGTGTTGAGCTCGCAAATTAGAGCTGTTAACAGCAGTACCACGCTTTTCCAGCTCCCTTTATCTTCCAAGCAGCTACTAATATGCTGGGGTGATTAAATACACCCACCATCCAGCATTTTGGAGGTAGGATTGGTGTGACATCATCATTCAGTGACTGAGAGGTGGTAAATAACAGGTAATACACGAAGCCATTTTCTGCTCCACTTTCTGTATAGTTTTGGAACATTTTCCCTCATACATTTTCTCCAGCCACTCACAAAGACTCAATTGCATTTGACCAACATTTTTCAACGAGGAACCTTATAAAACAACGTCTTGAAGGCTAAGTGACGTAAACATTTGTTTATCTCAATAAAGGACTCTGGTTAGATTTGATGTTAAATAATTGTCTTTGGACAAGCTGTTCAATGTGAATTCTGGAAAACTGATTTATGAACCTTGCAAGGTGAATGAAAGTCAAACCCAGCAGCCAGTCAGCACCATGCCATGGCTGCATTCATACAGCACGGTGTATATTAAATTAAACCTGTCATACAGAAATCAGCCTTTTAAATTTGTACATGTATGTAAAGGGTTTTCATGACCCCTCCAGCCCATAGAGATCACTAAATTCATTGCAATGTAAAAAAAAAATCACCTCCGATTATCATGGTGGGCTATGTATGGTTCAACATACATACATATGGATAGCAAAGTGGCAAGTCGCTACACCCATAGCATATACAGTACATGTTGTTGAAAAAACTGCATTTCCATTCATTTAAAATCACATTTCCAGTGAAAAGGCATTTAAGGTGAATGGTTTTCACCTTGGCTATGGTGCAATAGAAATTGTGCTCGTTCTCATTAGCAAACCGTCCTAAATCGTTTAACAATAACCAAAGAGTGTTAATGGAATGCCCCCCCTGTTGTGAGCGACGGCAAGAGTGTTATGCGACGTTCGAATTTGGGGTGGTGGATATCGGTCCCAGGGTGAAAATTAGACAAATATAGCAGGACTCCAATAACCTGAAAACTCCTGTAACCAGGGGTTAGTGACTCCTCCCATAATCCACGGCATACCACAGTGGAAATGTCCTATGGACTGCATGCCGCGATCCATAGAAGTGGGCGAGGATAATGCGGAGGAGCTGCAGGGGAAAAATTAGTGGCAAGATATTTTTTTAATAAATTAACACTTTTCGTTAACACATTATGTCACTCTCGTGACATAATGTGTTCAGTCAGTCGAAAAGAAAGCTGCACAGTGCTGACTCGTACATCAAAGACAAAACATCTTTTAAGACAGACCCATATGGGAGATTTGTGCCATTTGGGTCTCAGAAAAACATGTAACCTTAAAATCCGCAAATTATTGCAGATTAATTTGGCCGATAGTCACGTGCTCGTCCTTCCTCCCCTGTAATCTGCACATTTTTCGCAGATTAGTTTGAGCAGATTAATTTAATCGTGCGGCTAATTCCTCCCATTATTGATGGTACACCGCCATTGCGTGATGTTTTTCGCGGACAGAACTAACCTCAGCGGTGCACCGCAGATTACAGGATCCACGATATGGACCCTCCATATCAGTGTGGATTATTGGAGTACTGCTGTCGAGTGAAAGATGGTGAGAGAAGAGGTGAGGAGATTTAGGAAGTTTGTTGAAGCTTAGTGAGGGCAATCGTGATTAATAGCTTAACTTAGGCAGAGATGTCCAAATGGCATTCAAAATTAGGTAAAACAAGTAATTTTGCGAATACATTTTATTTGTTGAGGTAAATGATCATTCTAAATTTATGCAGGTTCTGCTGGTGCAATATTTAGCAATGTGACGAGTGCTAAAGTTGTAGTGAGCGGGGGATTCACTTATTTTAAATATAATACAGAGAAGGATGGTTTAAATAGCAGTTCAGTTTTATACAGATCCTTGTCAAATTGCCTCATACTTTGTCTTAAGGGTAATAAAATACAAGACAAGGGGATTTCCAGAGCTGTTACCTATTTGGAGCAAAATTATCGATTATCCATTGGGACGTGATTTTCCCATGCGGTACAAACTGGTCTATGAGGAATTTAGTACGATACATTGCATTGTGTTTTGGGAAATAAGTGGAAATTGGAAATATTATCGAGTGCTAACAAGGAGGAGAGCTATGGGATTATTTAGTGGTTGTTAACAGAATCGTGGTCTCAACAGTCTTTGATTTTTGGTGGAAGTTGTAAAGTGGATTACAATGTTAGGTGTGCATTAAGTGTTTTATCGAATTTGTGACTGGCATCAAAGGAAGATGGTTGATTGTCGATATCCGAGCAGTTGGTTGGCATTGCATAGCAGTGTCCTACTAGTGGAGACAGAGTGGAATACACGAGCTAGACCTGTGTGTCACGTGGGTGATAGTTGTGGAGACAAAGCACTGGCAAGTGAACAGTCCATTTATCGGGATAGGGGAAGCCAGGTGCTTAGCATTTACTATTTATTGTATGTATGTTGAACTTATTTCACACCGTACATAGCCAACCATGCTAATCAGAGGTGCTGTGTTATGGCTTGGGTTATTGACACTCAAATCCTTATAGCTTGTTCATTTTGCTCTATTATTTTGAATATAATTTAATTATTCCTTAAATGTAGTACAAATAATAACGGATAATTGCTCTTCCCATCTGTCAGTCATTCTATGAACACTAATAACAAGAAAATAGTCCAGGTCTGTTGCGTTATGCAATCTTCCCAGGAAGAGACTACATTTTAATTCAATGACTCTTGACCAAAGACGTTTTTTTGTATATTTTTCTTTCAGAGGATGTACATGTTCAATTAAATTTACAGTAATTGACTTCATGAAGCAGCATGTTTGATTCTGTTTTGGTAAGTGCTGTCAGCGGCACCTGTTCAGGCCAGTATGGTAAAAATAAAAGTTTTTTTAATCATTGAAATTTATAAGGTACAATTCATCCAGGGATCTCAGTGCACCAAGCAAGAAGTTTGAAATATGAATGCGACAAGGTCCGGAGTCATACATGGGAAGTGTAAGCAGGGAAAAAGTTGAGTCTTTAGAGAAGAACTAAACAGGGTGAGTGAGTTTAATATGGCAGGGTGTTCCATATGTTCTGTAGGTATGAATAATATCGCTCATTGTTAACTATGGTTATTGACCACAAACCTAGAGTCCCAAAACGCCAAGCAGCCAGCAACAAATAGCCGATGTTTCTTGAATTGAGCAAGATTGTAAGAACCTGGCAAAATAGGTGTTGGTGGGGAATTAGAAAGTTGAAGAATACAAATAAAGACAGAGAAAACGAAGTGTCTTTGACCTGCAATATGGTAGATGAACACTGTCCGGATGAGACAAAAAAACGTATATTTATGACGTGCATGTGTAATGTGACCTGAAAGATTTTAACTGCTTCTCCTGATAATGCCAGAGAAGATTATGTTTCCTCAGTCCAAGCTTCCCGACATGCTGCCACTTACTGTGGTAGAATCTGATAGAGGAGGGTCTCAGCTTTGCGCTTTTCTTCCAGGTAGGCCTGCGTCCTCTCTTCGACCAACTCCTCCAGGTTGTTTGCATACTGCTCCATGCGGGATAACAGGTTGTCCAAAATGTTGGTGCTGTTTTCTCTAAAAAGCATTCCAACAACACACCAATACAAAAAATCCACTTGTAATTGTATATACTGCATAGACGCATTCAAAGAGATTGTCTCTGAAACCAACATCAACCATGTTCTATAACCTGAGAGATTGGGTTTGTTCAAGATAAAATAGGCGTTAATGCTGAGGAAAAACATGTAAAAAACATGCAATTGCATCATTAGACCTTTGCCAGTACCACAATGTAATAAGAGTTTTTCCCTTTTTTTCTGGTAACAAAACTGAAACCTTTTTTACAAGGATTCATGTCTGCATTAACCACAATACCTGCAGTCACAATGCAAACAAAAAACATACTATGATAATATATGCATTGTCCTTGAAATTGATTGGTCCACACCAAGGGACGGCTTTCTTTTGAGCCTCGACCCAATTGGTGCTCGACCAGATGACGCCAAAAGGCAATTGCAATTAATAAAACACAATTGTTGATATTAATTGCCCGATTTGTACACATTTAGAATGATTTTTGTGAAATGTAGTTTTTCTTTATGTGAAAAACTACATTTGAAGACAACGTAAATCAAACTGCCAATGAATCTCAAAGAAAACTGCAACTGGATTAAATTGGACCTTTTATCTGTAAGACCATCACTAATTGCAAGCAAGACTAAATGGTTAACCTTTGTGTCTTGATTCTTTCACAACTCTCATCTTATATACCTTACTGCTCAAATTTTAAAAGTCCTATACAATATACACATTATTACTTCCTCCTGGCACGTGTGATACAATTAGAGGAGGTTCATTCCTTTTCACTATCACTACATTATTCTCACTGTCAAAGAAGATTCTGGTTTGAGTGTGCACCTCCTGAACTCTGACATTACACTGGCGAAGAGTGTGTGAATCCTGGGAGTTGACATTGATCCCAAGCTCTTGTTCTCTCACCATATATCTCAACTCGACAATCCATGCCTTCATCAGAGATTGATTCAACAAGTGTATATCTCTCCTCTACAGCATTACAAAATTCCTCATCTTCAAACCACAGGTGATATAAATATCATTGCCGAACTTTTCACCCACGTCAGTAGACAATGTCACACCTTCCCATGGCTGAAAAACCCTCCACTGGCTTCCCATCCACTCCCAAATGAATTCCTCGATTGCACGCGCCATCTGCAAGATATTCCATACACTCACCCATGTCTACCTTTCCCCTTCCACCTCGCTCAACTCTCTGCCACACATTCTCCTCCTCAGCCACTGGCTTTCTGCCAAAGAGCCTAGTCCCTTTTCAATCAGTGTTAGGTCACTTATTCTCTTCTGTATGTAGAACTTTTTTTTTTATTTCGCTCCGCACGAAGCCACGCGTGCAAATCGGAGGTGTGGTGTTGTTTGACCATACTTCACCACTTTAGTCAGTCCTGGTTGGTGAAGAACGGACTAAAAGGGCCAATTCAGATATCACTCGCCACTGATGTGAGCTGTGATACGCAGGTTACCGGGTTCATTGTGCAGTGTGCTAACCACTGGGCCACCACTCCACCCGTACCATATTCCAGTAAACATGCCAATGTTGGACCAACAATGGCCCAATGTTGACACTTGTTTTCCCGGGATATGATTAACAAAACACGTATATGTATGTCGAACTGCCCAATAGTCTGGAACTTCCTCCTCCCTGCCATCCATGCTGGCGACTCCATGCCCCTCTCTCCAGAAAATACACAAGCACACTGTTGCTGTACAGCATATTGAGATGCGGTCGACTCTAAGTCTGCCACGTACATCCAAATTGCGTTGCGTTGTCTGCAGCGTTTCTTCCATCCTTGCAACAACAGCGTCACAATGAATATAACTCAAAGTGCAACATAATGGCATTTCTGTAACCCCAGGTGAGTTTCAGTTGACACTTAAACTCACTTTTGGCAGGGAAGGCTATGAGAAATATGATTTATGGGCAAAGAAATGTGACGGAGAGGGGGTTAATGAGCCTCGTGGGTGCCTAGCGACGAGCCTGTGCACTATCGGCCTCCACCCACGCAAATCGTCTCACGAGTGGCAGCTGTGTGAAGCCGTACTCACACCGAGCCACGAGTGCGCATTTATCTAAAACTCTCCCCGAGATAGAGGGACACATTGAACGCACTGTACAATTTTTTTACTCTCGCTCTTATATTTCACAATGGACTTCGCCTTTTTGATCAACGCAACAACAAACAAACAAAAAAAAGAGTAATTTGCCAAGACAACATGCGACGAGACGCCGTGTCGCTCTGTTGGTTCTGCACGGTCGCGATGCATACAAGCCGCGGCAATGTTTGGCAATGCTAAAACGTTTAATGACGGCGATGTACCGGCCACTATGAAGTGCACGCACATACAAGATTGCTGTATTATTCGAATAACTGTGCATTCACTGTCTGGATAAAAAAAACAAAATATTAGGAGCCGTAACAAATTCCTAATGTTCGCGAGAGTAAGCAAAACATTTTATGGTAAACATTGGACTATAAAACCGATAGTGGAGGAATAACATTGTCTTCCGGGGGGGGGGGGGGGGGGTGGATAAGCTCTTGCAATTATAATTGCACTCAAGGTTTCGTACAATCTTTAGCGTTCGCTCGCTCGAGTCGTAGGCTATTGGATGATTTTTTGCCATTTAAAGCCAACTGTGGCGTTGCTTATCGCAGTGGAGTGGGAACAAACATCGTTTGGGGAGAAGGAAGGGGTTGGCGGGGGAGGGGGGTTGGCTTGGGTGCACACTACACCAGATGTAACACTTATTATTTTAGGGCTAGACTCAAATGATCTGCCGCAGAATTTTTATTTTATTTCCTGCATGCGGCACAGTGTCGATTTAAGGGCGCTGCAGCGGCGTACAAAATAACAATGGTGTGTGGCTCACTTGCTGCGTAACAGTCCGCAGCATGGAGAAACGTGCACGTGACTCATCGTTATGACACAATGGTTTTTTTTTTGTCCAAGCTATGGTCTGCCATGCATGAGTTTGCACCAACAATTGATGCATTTAATATTAGCAAACCGTTAACAATGTATCATTATTATTATTTGCTTAAGCTGCAGTCACATACAGTAATTCATTACCAGTCTTGGCGATGCACATTTTTGTGGTCCCCTAATCTATAACACTCTTGGTTTTTAACCAAAGTTCTATGCAGGTATCAAAGCTCTCCTTGGTTATTATTGCTGTGTTTGACACGATTTACCAGTGCATTCTTCTTGAACGTCCCCAACCCTGCATGGGCATCTCTCCTGGTTCTTCTCCCGTCCATCTGAATGTGCATTCTTTGTAACTATACCACTGTGCTACTGTGCTCCACAAGGTTATATTCTGACTCCTTTGCCTTTCTCAAAGCTATGTCTTACCACTTGGACACATAATTTCCAATTTAAATGAGTCACAATTGCTATGCTGATGCCACACAGCTCTACATCACTCTTGAACCACCAAACCCAAATAGCATGGTTTGCCCTAATACCTCACATGGATGATGTATCAGATTTGGATAGTTCCAATTTTCTGCAGCTCAATGTTGCAAAAATATAAGTTCTCCTATTCAGGGAGAAATCTGTCCTAAGGAAGGCTTCCCTGTTAAATGTTCGTCTTCTTAACGCTAATATCAAACTGGTAAAGAGAGCACGTCATCTGAGCATTTCAAGTATTCCCAATATATCTACATTTTGTAGAACATACTACTTTAATGTCCCATATTTGCAGTGTAGGTATGCCGACTGTTGCCGAAACCCTTATTCATGCATATGTCACTTTTTGGCTAGATTGTTGAAATTATATCCTTTATGGTCTTCATCCTTTATGGTCTTCATCTAAAAACTCGCCCAAATTCTCACCCACACCCACAAATGTGAGAACATCACCCCCATACTTCGTTCCCTCCACTGGTCACCCATCCACCCTCACATTAATTTTCAGATTGCCATCACTGACTTCAAGATTCTTCATGGTTCCACCCCACCTACCTTTCATCTCTCATCTCTGTTTATTCTCCATGGGGAGTTGCTCTATCTCCTCAGCTGCCCCTGCAGTGTGGAATTCCCTTCCTCTCAATATCCGTGCTACTGACTCCCTCTCATTGTTGAAGTCCACACTATGATTGAGTGTATGACTGTTTTAGACCATTCAAGGTGGTTGTGTGTGATTGTGAATATATGGTAAATTGGTTCCCCCTCATTGCATTGTATTTATACATCAGCCGCATGCAGTGCGTTTGTTTTAACATTTTTTTTAATTTTAACCATATTTAATGTCTGTTACTGTTATCCATGCTTGGTCACTGTGGCAAGTTTCTACGATATTTAATGTTTTTTTATATATAGTTTTTCCTTTCTAGTGTCTTGATATGTATATAGTGTTAAGAAGTTGTCTTAGTGTACATTATCATTATTACAACAGTACCATTACATTTATAAAGCTTTCTGAAGTAGTGTTCCCAATATCGTAACAGTATATTCAGTATGATAAATGGACTGCTTTCAGCCCACATTATGCACAGTGATAATACAAATATGACTGGTAGATGTAAATGTGAGTGATCTTTAAGTAGAGAAAAATACCATTATATTGGATAGAATAAAACAAAAGCAGTACTCATTTTTTGATTTTTTTAAAGTATAAAATACAGTAAAGTATTAAATATTGAGTTTACTGTATGTCATTCAGGTGTATGAACATTTTGTGTATTATTTGCAAGGGAAATGCCCTGTAGCAGTTAGAAGCAGCAATATATCATAAATCTGGGTAAAATAGATATGGAATTTTCCCAGCTAGAGGTTAAGTGGCAGTTTAGATGTTTTAAATTATGTTCATATTCTTGGTAAAATATTGTATAATAACTTATAAATATTTAGTAAATTGTACAGAAAAATAGATGTAATATCACGCACCTTCATTCTAAATTTGCTAAATAAATTTTGCAAAGAATACAAAATAAGCATAATATAAAAAAGACATGCTGAACGTAAAAAAAAAAACAATTAAAAATAACCTCACGTAATGCTATTGGATTTTTGAAGGATTTAATCGACCCAAGAAATACTGCCAAGGAGCAAAAAGAAAGTGAGAGTGAATTGCACTGAGTGGGGGTGATAGACAGGCCAGCAGATTCCATTTTCTCCCACTACATCACACCCTGTCAGACATCATTAATAGTGCCGCCGCCCATCCTTACAGCGTGTGACCCGTGCTTTGTGACACTTTTATTTTGCCTTTAAAAATACAATGAATACCAACAAATGAGCACCTATTGGTGAGTACAGTATGACCCCTTCATACACTTGAAATGTGCAAGCCTTGGAGCAAGGACATACTTTCTGAGTGATACAAAAGCCGAGTGAATGACTCTTCCAAGAGTTTGATAGAACTTCTACCCTTTAAAAATACCCCATTTGCCACCACATTTCCCCATGCAATGTTTAATAAAGGCCATGTCAACATGACCTTGGGGAAGCAGGTTCACCACTTGTAGCAGAGTTCCACGGCTCGACTCCAGTGGCTACCCTGGTTAATACTGCAGCTGTATTGACCATACAAATGTGCCGCCTGCTTCAGAGTGGACGTTAAAATATTGCGTGACGTTATTAGCAAGAGCGTGCCAGTGCCATGGCCCAAATTTGCCATATTCTAAAAATCATCCATACATTTTGTGGTACGGACTAATTTCATTTACTGGTTGGGCATTGACTCAGCCCATCATTCATCTGGCATCCATAAAATGAATACCACAAGTGGGGAAGTCAACAGTGGTTGTCCTATGGATCGACTCACTCCTGTTAAAGCAATGTGGACTTTCCACCACTGGCTCAAGGTTCGGAACAGGAGATGAGCACCACATAGATGCTCACATGAACAGGAAATCACTTGTCGATTTTGAACTAATTTACAGAATGTGAAGTGAACAGCGCTATGAAGACAAGAATATTTCCATTGTTTAAGAACAAATCTCCTGCCCCTAAAAAACAATAATATCCACCCTTAACCACTCAGGATACTAAACTTGATTGCAATTATATTCTTGGTGAAAGAACCAAGAATATGAAACCCTGCAGTCACGAAAGCTTTAAATCAAAATTTGATTGCAATTACTAATTTAAGACTCAAACTGAACACACCAAGAAACTGCAGCAGACCATACTAGACTCAAGTACCTCACATTCCTTTGAACTTTCACACATTCCAGTGAGGTTGCATTAACCTTATTATGTGCATATATTAATACACAAACTCTTACTCATTTCCTCCACGAGGCCATTACAGTTTGTTCAAATTTCTAATGCGCCTAATATTACTACCGTTTAAATATCTGTCTATTCTCACCTTTGCATTCACACTTAATTTATGTTATTAATAATACTTCAAAGGAAATCGGGTCCCTTTTATCATGCAAATTCTGAGTTTAGTCATCGTGATCTACAAATCATTAGTCTGTTTCCGGAATGGAGTAGAGCTCCCACATCTGGAGTGGTTTGTCAAAGTCAACACCAAAATACCTTCACAGAATCCAATAGGAAGCTGATTGTTGATATAGCCCCGTTTCTCATCATCAGTGATGCCTCCCTCTGCCCCTTCTACAGGTACATCCATGGTCAGTGTGCTGCTGAACTCTCCCTCAATTCTATATTAACGTTGCTTTACTTGTGAAACTCTCATCTCGTCATGTAAATAAACCAGCCACACAAAGCCCTTAGCCTCATCCAACACACCTAACACTCGTAATATTTGCAACTCCTTCCCCCTCCTCTCCACTCACTTTATTACAACTTGCACTCTATTAAGATGACTATGTCAATCACTTATCATGCTCATACGGATTAGGTATATCCCTCACGTGGCCCTCAGACCTCGACATTGGTATTTAGCTCCTGAACCCATTGCCATAAGCATGAATAGAATTAGGGTCCATTATAACTTCACACATGTTGCTGTACATTTTCAATTTAAAAGAACGGACTGACCATATTTACAATTCAGGCAATCCTATCAAACAAAACACTTCTGATGATCTTTCCCTGAAGCTCACATTAACCCCAGATATGCAGATCATTGTTATCGAGAAAATAAATTACCAAATCCTAAACCATTTAGTTTAATATATTCGTCATCTGCTTTGTAAAACAGTTTTTATATTCAGTATTTATATTATGAAACATTTCTGCAAATTAGTTCCATGAATGCCATTTTGGTATCATGTTGACAAAACCTCATTATTCTTCTCATGATTATTACTCATCAGTGGCACTTGGCACATCAATTTCAAAAGAATAATGTGTTGACTCATGCCCATAATTGGTCATCTTGAGCTGTTTACTTTTATTTGAGAATGATAATGTTGAGCCTCACTCACTTGCCGTGGTGAATAAACATGCGGATTTTTTTCTCACTTGTGCTTGTGATTGCCTCTTGATTCTAATCCGTTTCAATGAATTAGTAATCTATGGCCTTTAACCAGGTGTGAGGCCATTGACCTTTCTTGCTTTTGCAATGGGTACTAAGGTAATTGTAATCATGTGGTGACATTTAGATTTCTTTCTGCTGTTTACGGGTAATGTTCACTTTTGGGATGACCTACTTTTGTAAATGATGTCACAGGGCCTTTAATAACCACTTCACAGTAAATGGTGTACTTTGATAATTCCCTAAAGGAGTTACCCAATTGCTGTGGAAATTGAATCACTGACTAGGCGTATAACGTGGCTCAGTCGTGAGTGTGCTCGTCTCCACGTTGCCCAATTGCCTGCACTCACTTATTGAATTTATGAATGAGCATCTTGATCTGACTGAAATCCGGTCGCTCCGCTGGGTCTTCGGCCCAGCAGCGTTGCATGAGAAGCCCAAGCTCCTCAATGTGACAAGATTCATCCGTGGATGGCCGGAAGTATGGACGCTGGCCATTCTTCACTTTCTGTACAATCTCTGAAAATAGCAGCAGAATAAATTCCAATTATAGCCCCATTCAAACAGACGTCATTGTCACGAGCCAAACTCTTCCAGAAAACCACCACCTGGTAGCATTAACTTAGTCGGCGTTCACATTCTTGGTTCTTTTGGTAAAGTTACGTAGAAGGGAATCAATAAAATAATAAAAATATAAAACAATAAAATTCTCACGACGTTTCGACTGCAACACAAGCAATCATCATCAGGTGTGAAAACCACCAACGTTTCATAGGTCTATATGCATGGCACCGTCTCCATGCTCATGACAGCGGCTCACCTTTAGGGCTGAGGTCCATCCCCTCCACATAGAAGGTTCCATTTCTTAAGGCAATCTCCTGCAGGATTATGCCAAGGCTATAGACATCACCTTTCTGGGTGCCTTGTGGAGGTGGGTGCTCTAAACGCAGAAGCTCTGGTGCTGTCCAAAGCTTCTCTGTGGAACACACGACAAGGTTGAAGTAATTATTTTCTTGCTATGCTTCATTATTAGATTGGTTGCAAAATGTTTTCAGTACCTGAAATTATCAAAAACAAAATTACGTTGATTTTGTAAAAAAAAAAAGTATTTTTGTCTTACTTCAAGATGCTGCTCATGACATCTATGCAAATGTTGCATATTGTAATGCAATTGCATTGTGAATGTGTCTCAATCCATTAATATAATAATCATATTCTCTTTTTAATAACAAAGTAAAATAAAACCCTATGTAATAAACTTTTTGATTCGGATCTTTCTTTGTGAAAAATAGTTGATTCAAAAGCTGACTGAACAGTGAGACCACAGAGACTGTTGACCATATCTGGGAATAATTGACCAACCTCTTTAAACAGAGGTACTCCCATTCAGCTAATGAATTTAATTTTAAATATGGGTTAAGATTGCCAAGCAATCCTCCTTGAGATTTTTGAAAGCAAGTAAATCCCCAATTTTAAAAGGAAATTTGCATTTCCTAAAAGGGAATTTTTATTTGTATTTTCTTTTTATATATCTGGGCTATTATTAGCCATTTTTTTCAGAAAAGTGCGAGCAGTTATGTGACTGTTCATATTTTAGTATTATACTTAAATTCTCAAGCAAAATCAGTAGATATAGTAAAGTGTGTTTTCCTCAACATGGTTCTCATGGCATCAAAACAATGCAACAAGCACGGATGCATGCATGGTTCACAACGTTTAAATTGTCTTGTATTTCCTCTTACATAAAATACATAGAAATGACCAAAACTTTTCTTGTTGAATGTGTAAATGTACGCAGTTTATGAACAAGTAAAATATTCACTATGTTATCGTTATGCAACTTGACAGCCTAAGCAAGAGTGTGGCAGGCCACAGGCACACGTATAATGAAGCCACATTCCATGGAGTAAATGAACAGCTGTAGGTGTCTGGATGCCTTTTACACACAACGCCATTTGGCAGAGCCATCCTGGTTGACTCCCCTCTGCTGAAAGGGCTGGTCGTGGCTTTACGAATTCATGCACTTCACTTGACAGTGCTTTATTTTCTCCAAAATATGTGGGTGGGTCATGGTCGTGGCAAGTGAGCACCAATTCAAACCGGGTAACTCAATTGCATGCAGCCACTTTTTTGTGCCAAAGCAAAAGAAAAGCGATGCCATCCAAAGTGGGAATTTTGTTAAGAGGGGTGCCTTAGGTAATCAGGAGGCAGACATCAATGTCAACAATTAAAAAAAGTGTCTCTCACACAGAGTTGCTAATATAGCACATGCACCTGTACACATGTACAGCACACTGACAAACACACACCAAACATTTCCACTCTACACCACTGGGATACCGTATCGTGCGTAAGCTCCGAAATAAAAATGCCAGAAGATCAAGGCTATGTCAAATGGCGTCACGTGGAAGGTGCTCCGCTCATTACACCAAGAGATATGGCAGTCGCGATTGTGACAGCAGCAACACAGCTATGTACAATTGCAGCCCAATGATGGAAGCCCATTGTTTTATTATTATTTTGTCTGGTCGCAGCTTGATAAACCACGTAAGAGCATAAATGTAATGAATTAAAATAAACGTGGACGTAATAAAAAAAATGAAAATAAACAAATGTTAAAATCGACTCACCTGACCCATCAGTTTCCACGATCACGGTTTCAGTTTGCTCATGGTGCTGCTCCGTGATCGCCCAGTACAGTACAGCACGTGACAGTGCTGTTTTTAGCGCAGAAACAAGAAAATATCTCAAAAATATATTTTAAAAATTAGCAACCATGGCAGCAATCGCTGCTATGCATGTCACTAATTTTTTTTAAAGCCATCAAGGTTTTATAACAAATTTATGCGCTAAAAACAGCCTTGAAGTGATGTCACAGATTATTGATATGCGTGAGCACATGGTTGTGCATTATTACGATTTGCATTGCGTTACTGCAAAACACATGCAAATCAGCACGTTACTTGTACTGGACATGATTTCTACATTGGGTGCAATCTTTACGTGACTTATCAAGCGCTTCAAAGGAAAAAAATCAAAATGGTCTGACATTTCGGACAGCGGCATTTTCATTTATAAAATGGCAAATACGGAAAATGAAATAAAAGGGTAAGCAAATCATAAAATAATAAAAATCCAATCATCATGGCGTTGGTAATAGAATAACTGTATGGCCTAATAAGGTAGGCAAATTTGAAGCCGCAAAAGTCCATCATTGGACATTATTTGTTTTTTTTTTTATTTCTAGAGTATTTTCCTTGTGCTGCAGAAAAAGCAGACACGATTGGGACATGGAAGAACATACTTGCATAAAGGGAGTGCATATCCTCGCATTCACTGCATGAGCGGAAGCTGGCCAGCCCGTAATCCGTGATCTTGAGGACAAATCGGCTGTCCACCACACAGTTGGAGGATTTGAGGCTTCCGTGTGATCCAATGACACTGTTGTGCAGGAACAGCATTCCCTGTCGTGGCAGTGGAGGAATAGCGCATTAAAAAAAAACTCTGATTGCGTTGATGTACCTGTGCTGGAGGCTTGTGAGGAGGCTAAATCTCTTCTCTTATTTGCTATTTAAATCGCCCCACTATTTGCGTCCTCTTTTCAAGTGTGTCCGTTGGCATAGCATGTTTTTTTTTTTAAAGCAATTGCTGGGTTGATTGGGCAAGCATTGCCAGGAAGTGCTTGATTCAATTTGGTTTGGTCACAAGGGAAATAGAAGAAGTGCTAAGCTATCACCATGCTTCACTGCTTTTATCCCCTTAGATTCTGAAAATTGCAGACCTCATTTGTGAGTTGAATCAACTTGGAGCGAGAGAATGCACATAATATACAAACCAATATTCATTTTTAAAAAAATGAAGATGCATTACATTTAGCGAAACACCTCAATTGGGAAGAAAGTAGTTTGGGACCACGTAATGAAATCTAAATACAAACAAATAACACATTAAGTAAATAAAATAAAACGATAGCAGTTAGGGTTTGTATTCAGGTTCATGCTATGAAGCATGGAACGCAGTGTTGGTCTTACCTTCACTATGTCATTGATTAAGGAATATCGGAACACCCAATCCAGCGTAATGCTTTCATTTTCTAAAATGTCCTGTTAAAAGAAATATCGGGGCACGTCACACCTTTCATTACACGCACATGTAATGATTAAATACACACTTAACTAACCTAAACTGCTACAAAACAACACGAAAATAAGATGTGAGCCACACACTGCTTCATTGGGAAATATTCTGAAGGATATTATATCAACATTTTATTAAGAATACCTCTTCAAATCAGGAGAAAATGGGAATAGGTTTTACCCTTTTAACTGGCACAAAAACTGACACCTTTATTCAAGGCATCATGTTTGCAATAACCACAACACAAGCAGTCAAAATGCAAACAAAAAAGACAACTCTGAACATATGCATTGTTCTTGAATTTGATTGGTCCACACCCGAGACGGCTTTTCTTAGAGCCTAGTCTCCATTGGTGTTGGACCAAAAGACGCCAAAAGGCGTACAACTGTGCCAGTTAAAAGGGTAAAAGCTATTCCTATATCTTGTTACTGGCAAAGGAGGTCTCATACAGGAGAAAATGGTTTCGAACACTTACAAAATTTCACGTATTCACTATTAGATAAATAGTAAATCAAGGCACTTCAAATCAACACCACTAATGTGTTGTAATTCGTGACTGTTGATATTAAAAGCTACACAGACTTCCTTCCAATGCTTTAATTAGGCTGGGGACTGCAGAGGTTATTATCTCCAGTAATACACTTAATTGAACATTCATTAATTAAGTCTCACATTTGTCCTTCTTGTCCGTTTAGAAATTTTAAATTAATAAATAAAGACACGAATACCATAAACATCGAATTTGCATTTATATTGATTTCTCAATCCAGTATGCGTAGTTTGTTATAAACACGGAAAAAATGATTTTACCAGGTAAGGCCCACTGAGCTGTATAGCTCTTGTTCAGAAGTGACCTGGCCACAGATGATAGCTCAACGAAGTGGCTTATCATGTTCAAATTTATAGCAGCCAAATACACTAAACGCATGTTTCTAAATTTGGGGGGGGGGGAAACCGAAGGACCAGGAGAAAAATCCACACGACCACAGGGAGAGTATGCAAACTCCAAATATACAGGCGTCAGGGTTGGAATGGAATCCACAACCTCCAGTATACCTGGCAAGGGAGTTAACATCTCACCACCATGGCACCCTGAATAATAGGGCACAATTGAACATACGCACAATAATCCCACATTTCCAAGACCATTTTGCACAGGTGCCAAATTCAGGCCGAGATCTGTCCTCATTAATTTAGTGGACTCATACCCTCCCATCCTATGCCATCCCCACTACTCGCCCCTCCACACCCCTGCCCCTTCCCACATCATCCACCTGTGACTTTGTGTCCAATCCTAGGTGGACGCACCTACACTGGGCAAGTATCTAAGCAAGATCGATTGATGGTGTTGGTCATTGAAAATGTATATACGGTATAAACACTATCTACACATATAATAAGACAAGACAAGATTCAAACATGCACTGAATCCGTTTGATCCTGGTTACTGTCTACCTGGACAAGAACATGCTATCAACGTTGGCCTTAAAGGGTTTAACGTGATGGTAGCTTAGGCTGTTAGTTATATTTAGTAGGTAAAGGTATTACTTTGAAATATGTGTAAAAGTGGTAACCATTTTGCTTAAACAAACGTGCATTCAGAGTTTGAATGAACACTTAATGGAAGAGTTCTCCCAGGCCGTGGCTTGGGTCTGCTTATCAAAACCCGGGTCTGCTTATCAAAACCCGGGTACATTTGTAGTGACATCAGGGATGTCACTGTATGGTGCCGGCCTGAGAGGGCCACGGCACGCGATGCACCGTCATCGCGTGCACCCCGTGGGCGGGTGTAGTACCAGCCCTAGCAGGGCTTGGTGTGGGCTGGGATAGCGCGAGCACCACGCATAGCGTGTGGAGTGGGAGAGTGTCAGCCCAGGGGCAGGGTTGCCCCGGGCCATGGCACTCTGGTTGACCCTGCAGACACGTGACCTGGAGTGTCCACAGAGAGCCCCCCAGGTGGGGTGACTAGGGGGGGATCACGTGTCCGGGGAGAGCGAGAGCTCTCGAGAGGGATCGAGAGGGAGCTGGAAGGCTCCAGAAGGGGGCGGGGCCAAGGACGGAGCGGCCCCGGCGGGTCCCGGAGAGGAACCGGGGTCGCTGCATTCTAGAAGCGGGCAGCTCTACGTCTCAAGCTGGAAGCTCTACGTCTCAAGCTGGAAGCTCTACGTCTCAAGCTGGAAGCTCTACGTCTCAAGCTGGAAGCTCTACGTCTCGAGCTGGAAGCTCTACGTCTCAAGCTGGAAGCTCTACGTCTCAAGCTGGAAGCTCTACGTCTCAAGCTGGAAGCTCTACGTCTCAAGCTGGAAGCTCTACGTCTCAAGCTGGAAGCTCTACGTCTCAAGCTGGAAGCTCTACCTCTCGAGCTGGAAGCTCTATGTCTCAAGCTGGAAGCTCTACGTCTCAAGCTGGAAGCTCTACGTCTCAAGCTCTACATCTCAGGCTAGAAGCTCTATGTCCTACGAGGCAAACACGTGGTCGCGGACCTGAGTGAGAGGGTCCGACCCTTCGTAGCTGTAACTCCTCTGTATAGTGTAGTTAGCTGGGTGGTCACCACCCTAGGTGTATCTGGTAAAGGGGCAGTTACCCCTTTGTGTTACAAATAAATGTGTTGCCTCTAAAAGGAACAACGTCTGTGAATCAGTTGGACCCACTACACATTTATAAATTCATGGGTACAAGCGAAATGTTAACTACTTCGCCTGGTATATATGAGGTCGTGGGTTTGATCCCGTGGATTTTTCTCCAGGTTCTCAGGTTTATTTCCTTCCACATTGAGAAACATGCGTTTAGAGTATTTGTAAATGTCCATCTGATAAGCCACTTTGTTGAGCGATCATTTGTGGCCAATTCACTTCTGAAAAAGAGCCACATAGCTCAGTGGGCCTTACCTCGCAAAAACATTGTTTAGTTTAAACTCGGATTCACGACTATCCCAGCTTAGGTCTGCCAAGTATTGAAATATGGCATCGAAACAAGGTGCAAGTCTCTGGTCCTCTGCTCCAACAATTCGAACTGGCTTTCCCCTTAACTGTCTGTGCTATGAATTATCTCTCCATGTTTAAATATAACAACTGCTTCTTTGGAATCCTCCTATAGAACCATCAGTAATGTGTACCTCCTGGTTATCACCACTTATTCTGTACAGTGTCTTGAGATAAATATTGTATTCCACACTGATAGATCTAAATGGGATTGATGTAGTGCATGCTTGGTGTACGTACTTAATTTCTCACAGCATGAAATGTATTTGCAAATATAGTATATAATAATGTATGATATTCTTGAGACAACATTTGTCATTAAACAGTGAACTTCAAACAAGCTGCTTGGCAATGGCATAACATTACAGAAACAGTCAATAGCTACTGTATATCATTTTAGAGACTGCTAAAGGTATATTCTAAAAGTGTACAAGGTAATGGTGCAGCCTTGCAGTTGCTTGCTCATGCCAGTGCTGGTGGAACAGCCTCCACCAGTGTGCTGACCATAGCTACATGGAAGCATCCCCACACTATAGGCAGTGCATAAACTTGTACACAAGCAGAAAATGCCATGTTTTACATGTGCTCAAGAGAGGTGCCACAATTTAAGCTTCACGCATCTGGTATTGGTTACAGTTTTGGTAATTGGATTTTAATTTTATTACATTGCCATTAATTGAATGTGCACTAGTCCACTCCTAAAATCGAATCAAATGTTATATGTACAGAGCCCCTTCACTCAAGACGCCTGACAGATTAAAAGACGGTGACAGAATATAATGATTCAGATGGGAGGGGCGTGAAAGGAGTGAGGAACGAGTGACTGCGATAGAGGGTACTTGGGGATCACGAAAGGGTAGGGGAGGGACGGGAAGGAGTGGGGGGGTGAGAGGAGGTAAGAGGAAGATAGTGGGCAATAGAGAATAAGTAAACATACACAGCTGTGCATTTCAGATTGGGCTTACCTGTAGGCTGCCCCGTGGACAATATTCAGTTACAATACAGATGTTTGGGGGATCGATGCATGCTCCCACAAACCTTGTCAAATGCTCATTCAGAACATCTCTCATCTGTCAATACATAGCGCAAGCCAGGCAAAGAATGAGCAGTACCATACTTGCTTTGTCAGTCTCCAAAAATTCAATATTTTGTCTGATCTCACGTATGTTGCAGCAATGTGACAACAGATTCACAAAAGCATGCCAACACATAAAATGACAACACAAATTTTTAAAAGCACATTCACAAGCCAACTGTATTAAGTCACAAAGCTTCATAGTTTACATTTATACGTGCATGAGTATATATAATCCGAGATGTATGATGCATTCAACACAACACACGTTTATACTTACATGTTTAAGCTCAAACAACACCTCTCTGGTCAGCTCAATCTTCTTTTTGTTGATTGGCTTTATGGCCACCAGATTTCCCTGTCAAACGATATCAGTATTGCACTTTAATGCCATATTGCATTTTTGTAGATAAGAGCGCATTGTAAGCCGCATGTATTAATACATATTTGATGAAACTGCTACTTTTACAAAATCAAACTATTCATTTCCCTCAAACCGTAGCATGATCGAAAGCAATAATCTATCACCATGTGTGTGGCAACTGATACGAGAATGGCAATTATGTAATTCTCTGAAGCTTGTTAAGTCTGGAAAAATAAGGAATTTAAAAAAAATACTGCGTGTTTTCCTGAAATACTGAAGTTTTGAATACATCAGGAATATAGTATATATTTAAAATTAAAAGTTAATCTAGACCTATAAACACTTTGTGTAGGTATGAACTCATTCCAATAATAATTTAAAAAATAATTGATCCCATTAAATTCGTTTATCATTTTCGGTTGTGCTTGTTGAAAGGGTGATCATTTACGTTACATAGGAAAACCACTAAATAACCATATATTTTTTTTTCTATTTTAGTCTGGGACTTCCCTATGCAGTCTAAGCTTGTAAGCCCATGGACCATAATGTCAATCATACAAGTTTGACAAATAACTGTAAGCCAGTATGTTGGTGTAAAACATACCCTGTAATACCCCGTCTTCGCAAACATTTGGTTCCTTCCCTGTGTGGTGAGTAGTGATCCACAGCTGGAGCCTCTCTGGACTCAGACACATGCATCAAAAAATGATCACAGCTGCAGATGGTCATATACTCATGGGATGCCTGTTATTGTCAAATAATTGTCCCGAGATGATCTCAGAAGCACACACGTGTTCAACATTTATTTCCATATTATTTCCCACAAATAGCTCAACACTGTTCAAATGACAGTCAAATTAACATTTTTAAAACCAATCAACGCATTGCGTACTCATTTTGGTATGTGTCCACCACACAATTATGTCACACATAATTAGTTTCTCATGGAAAATGGATACATACATGATATCAATTCCTTTGTGTTATCCATTTAGAAGTGTGTGAGCTATGTACATCATGCCTAATGATCTCCTTGTGTTTACTGAAATTCACGTGAGAATTACAGAAAAAAAACTTTCAAAAATGCCATGATTCGAGTTTTTCTTCCCTACTTCCAAATCCAAAAATGTATGATTGCCTTTAACAACAATTACCAAATGCAAGTTGCTCTTAATAAGTGGTATTTAAAATGTATCCGTACACAGTCACAACCATTAAACAAATAATGAAATGAAAGGATTGCATGGCTTAACTTATACTGGTTCATAGGTTGGTTTGAGATCGAGTCTGGTGATTGGACCAGTCGTACATTGAATCAGATGTGATCATCAGAATCAGAATCAGAAAGGGTTTTATTCGCCATGAAAGTTCGCACAGACAAGGAATTTACTTTGGCAGGAAGGTGCATACATTCAACATGATGAAGCTTCATGATGAAGCTAGTTGTAATTACTGGCGAAACGTCGTACTCAGTTTGTAAATGTTGTGCCTTGGCTCTACCAACACACCGGTGTGCTGTACTCGTGACGAATTGGCATGTTCTGTTTACATGACAACCCTTACTAGTTGGCTGTGTCGGGTGGTGGTGGGTTTTAACGACACATTTATATATTTACGTGATTTAACCCAGAAAAAACCTCTATTATGGATGATATTGGTCGCGAAAGCCTACGTGTTAAATTGACTAATAATGTTATGGATTTTGATTTAAAGCTTTCGTGACTGCAGGGATTCATATTCTTGGTTCTTTCGGTAAAGTCTCGTAGAAGGGAAACAATAAAATAATAAAAATATAAAACAATAAAATTATCACGACGTTTCGACTGCAACACAAGCAATCATCATCAGGTGTGAAAACCACAGCAAGAAATTTTGAAAAAAGTGGCGGGTTTTTTTTACGTTAGCACCACGGAGAGCGATTTGGCAGTTATTCAGATGGACATGACATTGACTTCTCCAAGACAGAGGTTATTTGCAAGCCATCTGGCTACCATGAAAGATTCGTTCATGAGGCTATCCACATATACAAACACAGAGACAATTTCAACCGAGATGGATTCTGGCTTAGCAATCATTGGAAGGATTTGATAAACCATTTCGGGTCTTAATTGATTGTTCACGCTTACGGTGGCTTTCAGACCGCATCCATTATTTTCGTCTCCCCCCTCCTCTTTTCCGAATATAGATGGACTCGTCCATCTGAATAACTGCCAAATCGCTCTCCGTGGTGCTAACGTAAAAAAAAACGCCACTTTTTTCAAATTTTCATGCAGTGGTTTTCACACCTGATGATGATTGCTTGTGTTGCAGTCGAAACGTTGTGAGAATTTTATTGTTTTATATATTTTTAATTTTATTGTTTCCCTTCTACGTGACTTTACCGAAAGAACCAAGAACAATGGTATGGATGACTAATAATTATAATTAATGTATAGAATTAAAAACATTAATTATATCAATAGATGGCGCCATACTTGGTATGTCTCGAGTAAATAACTAATTAATCTGGGAAAGTGTTGGTCGTAGCTTTCTGGTGGGTCGCGGTGCCCGTTGAGATCCACCAAAATTGATCACAGTACTTGGTGCATTGGCCACCACTTACCTAAATGGTCCACAACAAGTCCTATTATCCGTGGTTTCACAGATAAGAGGAGTTGCCTGGAAGATTCATACTATTATCTGCGTTTATATGTGGGTAAGAGGTACATCCAGAAGTGGATGGTGATTGCATTATTATCTATATTTATCTGCGAGTGGCCATGCAGATAGGCCGAGTTATTTTTGCAGTTAAATATTAGTAATGGGATTCTCCTAATAGCAGCCCCTGCATCAAGGTGGATAACACGTGTTTCAAATAAATAACACATTTGAAACCCAATTGTACACATTGATTCAAGTAACCACATAACCAATTATACTGTATTTATGATAATATAATTTTTATAAAATGTACTTTATAAAACATTCTAATATTCGAACCAAGATAAGCTTGATATGTTAATGATGGAGTCCCCAAGTGACAGTCCTAAGCTGAGAGATATTGCTCATCGGGGAGTTGGAGTTAATTTTGTATTCAAATTTAAGTAAACAAAAAATGTCTTTACTTTCAGTAGTTTACAATTCTCATGATCACCATTATTTACCCACTGCTGGGTGAAGGTCTCCCCGTGCTATTGCCCTCCCCCATGATCCAGGCTGCCATCTCATTCCTGTACATGTGTAATGACAGGGTGACACCTGTCGGCCTGGAGTGGTAATTGTGGTCATGGGTGCATTACATAATGCCTTATAATAAGGGGGGGGTGTATCTGGGGTAAAGGCGGAGTCAGTCGAGAAGCTCCGGGAACCGGCTCGAGGGTTCTGGAAGGGGGCGTGGCCAGAGCTGGAGCTTGGCCACGCCGGGGCAGCTATAAGGAGGACCAAACCAGAGGTTCGAGGCTGTTTGGAGTCTTAGGTCCTTGCTGCGTCGCTGTCCACGTGGCTGATCTGCTGCAAGGTCCTCTCGGCCGCTGTCGCTACGCTAGTCGGACAGCTGAGTAGTTGTATGCTGGCGTTGGGGCTGTCAGTGTTAGGGTCGCCTATGTGTAGCTGCGTTACATAATGTATCGCCCAGTGTGCTCTTAATAAATAAGAAGCCTTCTACTTGATGTGTCTCGAAAGTCATTCACTACACATGGACTGATCTTATTGCTCCATCTCCATGGTGGTAGGTACCCTTTGATGCATTGTGTCCTTCGGCTGCCTCATCCATCAGCAATCATACCATCGAGTAATGTGTCCTGCCCAAGCTTATTTACTTATCCAAATTGACAATATTCTAATTTTAGTTTGTTCCATAGACCATGTGTTCCTTTTAATGTGTCTCTCCATACTTCTGTTGACACATCTCAGCTTTTGTTCCATAATCTTTGTTAGTGTCTGTGTTTTCCATGTCATAGCTAGATGTATGCACTGATTTTAAACTTTATTCTTCAATATGATATTCAACTCTCCAAATTCACTCCATCCTGTTACTGTTCTGTATTCCATCGCTTGGATCCCAATATCTCGATTTACCTTCAATAGCTGCCCGAGCTAAACATATTCTGCTGGGTTTTCCAGTTGCGTCCCTTCAGTGGTTATTTCATTTTAAGCAAACTGGTAAATTATTTATATTTTACTTATATATCCGAAATCAATATTTACAGCCTTCTCTGTGACATTGCATAATTTTTAATTAATTTCAGTGCTTCATAAAATAACTGTCATCAGCAATTCTGAGATGGCTAAAACCTCTAAATTCATGTTAAAGCCTTTAAATCTTAAATCTAACCTTCAGAAGATATTATCTGTCGCTGTGAATTACCTTTGTACGAGCATATCTCCTTTCACAACTGCTCTTCTGATTATATTTACTGCTCTCCTCGTGCAACTTCAATATTGCTGTTGTTTCTTTGTAAATAGTAATGATGTCTGTACGTTTGTTATTTTTGCCTTCATTTGTGAGAGCTTGGTTGACGCTACTTCAGTTTTCACTCACTTAAACGCCCTTTCATAATCGTTAAAATCCATTTGTCTTTTCTAGGCTTTGATTGATACCGTGTGTGTGGTCAATGGTGGAAAAGCCCTTCCAAACTACAGTTTGCTGAAGTGGTTGATTGACCTTAAATTGTCAATAAATATGAGTATTTTATACGAAAACTTAATTACCTTTTTAACGTTGATCGGTGCAATTGTATGCCATAATAAAACATTACTTATAAGTTCAGTCAAATGATCAAGTCAGGTTCTGCTGGCAATCAAATTCAATCAGTTTGGGATATGATCTAGTCAATATGAACTCTAAACCTCTCTTAACTATATTAGTGTTTAGATGGATTAATCGAAACCAGATAAAAATCAAATACAGATTGCATCAGTTCCACTGCATCAAAATACACATCAGTATCTCGATAAAACTACAGTTTAAAAAAATCAAGAGTCAGAACATTTTCACAAGCAGTGAAGAGATGTCCCCTTCCCAAAGGCTTCTGGAATTCCCATCACTGGCTTAGGGTCGTAAACAGGACATGGGGTGACATGGCTTGAGATACAGCACATATGCATGCTGCTATTTGCTAAATTTCGTGGTTCGAACCCAGCGGCTACCCTGCTAAATACCGCAGGTGCATTAACCAAATATATGTACCGTCTGCTTCACAGTGAATGTTAAAAACCCTGTGGCATTATTTAACTTTAATGGATACTTGCAAATTACCTAATCACCCTCTACCGTGAAACGAATGGCAGACTATACTCGTCTTTGAACTATATAGTTCCTTATGCTAACCTTGCACTACAGGAATGGCACAAATACCAAATGTACTCATGACTGAATGAGTACCACCCCAAAAGGGAAACCCCTTTTTTACTATAATAACCCTGGTGCTACAGTACACTGATTGTTTTGGTTCAAACATATAATATACACAATTCACACACATCAAATACGAAAGTATACAACTCAAAACTATAATTTTACTCCAACAGCTATTATGCTCCTCTATCCTATTATCATAACAATTCAAATGTCCCTAGAGTAAAAATATTGGCAAGGCACATACTCTCATTCAGATTGAGCGGATTCAACTTGGAATGATTTCCCACACGCACTAAAATATGCCGCCAGTCTCTAATTATTAAAATCTATAATTAAAACTAACGTGTACAACATTTGTAATTGTTAGCTTGTGAATATTCTCTGTGAAACTGCGAGTGAACCCTGTTTATACGTGCTTGACTTTTCATAGGTCAATATCATTCTCCGCGAAATTTTCTATTCACTATCATCTCCGGAATGTAACCCTCGCAAATAACTAGGGGATACTGTAATACGCAACATGCATAACAGTACAAGATGCATGTATACACACATTATTCAAACCTTTGTTCGCACAAATACAGTTCACTACTAGCATACACAAATTATACGACTCGGATAAAAAAATAAATACATGCACAGAATTATAAGGATCGTACACACATACTGTATCGCCACACATACGGAAACTACACTTATACATGTGCAATGTGAACACGCAGATACATACCGCAAATGAATAAGACAAGTGTACAAGCCGTAGTTCCTAAAATATGCACACATTTCTTCAACACATATAAATTAACTCGGTCACAATGTATCCGTGAATGCCCAACACACATGCGCAACACAATACCGCACGCGCATAAATACATTAATCATTGTTCTACAATGAAATACACACTCGCACATACACGCACATAAATCCTCCCCGAACACAGCAAACAGGAGCTCATGCCACACACAAGGATCTGGTGCATTCTAAAACAAAATCAAATTATGATCTCTTTTCCGTACAATAAACTCTTCTCCTTCCCGCAAGTACCAAAAAAAATACCGCAGTTTAAATTAGCTATCATTATCGCTGAGGCATTCGCCACCGACGTCTGCAAAAAAGGGTTTATTAAATTGGCCTCTCGGAAAATGTGTTAGCCTGAGCAATGCCTTTCCTAAAAGAAGAGTAAATAATCAACGAGCAGGGCATTGATAATTTAATGAGCCACCAGTAAGGCACGTCATGATTAATCGATTAAAACAAATTGTCTACGCAAGCTAATATATCTATTGATGTGTGTAAGAACTACTACTTTACGTGAAAATTACATCTGGTCACAAATAGTCAAATGGAGAGAACGCAACTGGACTGTGATAAAGAACAAATGAGAAAAGATACAAGTGAGATGAAAAAAAACAAGACAAAATAGTAATTGAATATTGAATCACATCGCGATACTGAATAATGGCAATTCATATAATCATACGGAGGCGAAAGCATTACACTTGTATCAACCACTGTAACCATGTCACCTTTAGCACAAACATCACAGCTTGCAGTGCGACAGCACAGGTCCTGCTACTCCCCTCCATGCCAAAAAACAATTTCATTCCGCCGCCTGTGGTTATGATCATCCTGAGTGGCAATCTGGTCTTCCATTGTCCATTCTTCCTTTGCCTTCGCCTTGCTGGAAACTGTATTTCCACTGCTCTCTCCAACCACCAACTATCTCCTCAAATAAAGTCAGTTCAGCGAAATTCGTTTCATCCACAGCCCTCTTACACGCGAGTCCTGACACCTGCAGGGTGACACTGATTAAAAAGTATTCCCTTTATTTGAAAAAGCAGATGTGTGTTTTTTATTTATTGATTTACTAGCTTTATTTATACTCTTCAGAATTCAATGAGCTATGAAGCTCTTTGTCACATGTCCAGTAGGGGCGGGTCAGAAAGTTCCAACAACAATACAAAAACACGATAGGAGTACAAAGTATAGGAAAGGAAAGTAAATCAATAAACGTTTTATTTTAGCAGGTAAAGCCCACTGAGCTATTAGCTTATTTTTCGGAAGCAACTTGGCCGCAAATGATCGCTCAACGAAGTGGCTTGTCATGTGGACATTTTTATCAGTCAAATAATCGAAACACATGTTTCTAAATACATATCAAGGGTAATATCAAGGGTGTGGATAGTGAAATGTAACGTTTACACTATATCTGGTGGAGAGTATGAGATTAATACTCTTGTTAGCAGAGCAGGGTTTTTATGACTATTTTGTGTTGCTGAATCGGATAGAAATCTGGACTTTAACAAAGCACCTTCAAAACAAACTTCTGACTTTAAAATACATGGGCATGCTGACCATGCTAGAAACTGCACAGCAGGATAAGGAACGCAATTTGAAAGTTCATGTCAAAAAGTGTAGTAGATGTAATCAGGCAGAAGCAGTGGTGATGGGTGGGTCATGTGTGCAGGATAAAGGAGGGCAGACAGGAATTGCATTGACACCTATAGATTGGCAACACAAGACAAGATCTAAAGCCAGAGGATGGGATACTGTAATACACCAGACCTTGGAGGTCTGGTGTATTACTGCATCAGCTGCAGGATTCAACAGAAGGAAGTGAAGGCAGGTCGTGGTTGCATCAGCAACACTAGCCACAATAACCTCTTGACCTTCATAAGGTCAGATTTACTCATTGGTTTTTTTTCGGTAAAGTCACGTATGTAGAAATACAATAAAATTCTATTAAAATAAATCACGACGTTTCGACCGCAACACAAGCGATCATCATCAGGTGCAAAAAACAAATAGCGAGGGAGCACATAGGGTGACATCAATGCAACACACAGAGAGCGTTAAACTGCACGGAGGTAAATACAACAAGAAGATGAGAGACGAGAATTCAGCAAACCTAAGAAAAAATTACGTGATGTAAAACCAGTCGGCCAAGAACACAGTTAGACACTTGCCCGGCGGACCACGAATTTCAGAAGACTGCTACATTTCGTGTTCATCCTCTGGGTTGAACACACCAGCATAGACAGAGTGAACAAATACGAGGTACAAGGTAGCAGAAATACTTTATACAGGGACACCAAGAGGCAAGAAGAGGAAAGACGGACAGAGAAGCAAGAAAAGGGCCGGAGGGATGAACAGACAGGGGCTTAAATAAGCAGCAGAGCTGGGGGCAGGGGCCGAGGACAGCAAGGTGCGCAAGCGTGCGGGCGGAAACAGACGGAAGCATAGAGACAAACACAAAACCACGGTGAACAAAAAACAAAAACGAAGCACATTAAACAAAAGACGAAGCACATTGAAGCACTTCGAAGAACAGACAACACAGGGCAATAAGTTTAGGACAGAATTGTAAAGGTAACTTCCCCGTAGAAGTGGGTTAATATAGAATTAAAGCTTTCGTGACTGCATAAATTACTCATTGTTTTTTTTCGGTAAAGTCACGTATGTAGAAATACAATAAAAATATATTAAAATAAATCACGACGTTATTAAGGTCAGATTTGTAAACAAAACATTTAAGGTATATCTCTTTGGTTTGCTGAACCTTTACACATTCATATCAAAACTCAATTTAATGTGGAAAGATGATTGACGTCATTTTTTTTGTTTAACACGTAGGCTTTGCGACCAATATTTTCCACAATAGAGTTTTTGGGTTAGATCGCATAAATGTAAATGTACAAAGCTCTTTTTCACAGATGTCCATTAGGGGCGGATCAGAAAGTTACAACAACAAACAATACGAAAAGACAATAGGAGTGCAAAGTATTGGAAAGGTAAGCAAATCACTTAAACAATTAAAATAGTACATTTTTATAATTACTGGTAAAACATCGTCCTCGAATTGTAAATGTTGTGGGTTTACTCTCTAACACACCAGTGTGCTGAACTAGCAACGAATTGTCATGTTTTGTTTACGTGACAAATCTTACTAATTCGCCGTGCCGGGTGGTGGCGGATTTAACGACACATTTATGTTTACACGATCTAACCCAAAACAACCCTCTATTATAGTTGTTATTTTTTTTTGTTGAACTGCTTTTTATTGGCAAACAACACACAATGTGCACTGAGTCAAATCCCCGCCATTACTGAACAGGGGACTAAAGAATATAAGTGGAAGCGTCGTGAAGCCGGTGTTTTTGCATCCGAGTACCATGGAAAGGGTAAGCTTGCTGCCGGCGCTGCGCCGCGCTTTCTCCAGGCTGCTGACCTGGATGTTCTCCCAGCGCAGTCGCCACAGCATGCTGGCCAGCTCCTTTTCCAACTTAAGCTTCCTGCATCACTCACACACAGGTCCACACAGATCGTTACTTTCATGAACACATGATTGTGGCTGAACAAAAGTGAGAGACTCAACGCCAAAGAAGCTGAGCCGGCATATTTTTTTTGTTACACATGAGCCTGCTTCTCTTCATGACAGCACTTGTCAGGCAATTCCCTGCACACTGCACTGGGGCTTTATAGATGGGGGTGGGGGGGAACGTCAGCAAATGAACTCCACCGGCTGCATAGCCAAAAACAAAAGTGCGGCATTGTAAGGTCCAACCTAAACTTCCATCACTTCCTAAGTGGAACACATGTGAAAGCAAGCAAACAGAAGCACAGTTTTTGCAATGACCCAGAAATACCCCCACACTGGAATACATAAGTATCTTAGCTGACTTGGTGATGGTGGTGTCCTTAATTTTTCAAACCAGGTGTAATGGCACACGTTTAAGAACAAACCATGCCCATGGAAATGAGTTTGATGCCAGCCAACTGGCAGATAAATTAGGCCACGATATGAATTGCTGAAAAAAACCTCGGCTAATATAATTTTGTTTCACCCTTTCTAAAAGCAATGTTATCAAATGTACATGAAAATAAAGTGGCATTGAAATTTTAGGCTCGAAACTGTAAATGTGTCCATTATACATATGAAAACAAGCTGTGCGCAACTTTTAAAATAGGCCCTGGCTTGTTTTTCTCTTAAATTCTTTGCGTAAAGTAAATTTAGCTATGGGATGGAAAATGATGGTTAACTATGGCAAAAAATGGCCACGTTAACAGCTGAAGCCTGAAAGACACCATGTGTTTTTGATACCAGCATCACGTGCAATCACACTGGTGAATGTTTGAAAAGGCACAAGAACTGGCGACACAACCATTGTGTTCATCAGCCGATTATCGCTCAGGAGGATCAAACAAATCCAACTCTCTTCAACACATTATTCTAGGGAACACTAAAATGTACATAAAAACCATAAAATATACGAAAGTCATCAAGTATTGATTGTCATATTGTGAGAAACTTGATTGCATTACATCACGCCGTAATCTGGTGATGGTGAAGGTTTAACATCCCAGCAGCCATACGTTGTTAAAATAAATAAATAATCCTTTACATTTTTTTCTAGCAGGCAGTGGCTAACACACTTTGCTATTAACCCGGCGACTTGATTTTGATTCATGGCCACGACTAACATCAGCGGTGAGTGATATGAGAATGGCCTTGAGTAGCCCCCTTCACCAACAAGCACTGGCCGGCATGGTGATGTTACGGTCAAGCAACTCAGATGACAAAGATGGCATGCAAAGATAATCATCCAACAGTGGATTAACAAAGGCCGTTAATGATTATCCATTGTATTTAGTTTTGATTTATAGCACGGAATTATATTTTTAAAACACTCAATATTTTATATTAATTAGTCATTTCAGTTGTCTTTATCCAAAAAAGGGAACAGCTTACTGCAAAATAGAGGTTTATCTATTCTTAAGCTCATGATACATTCATTGAATCACATATGAAAAAAGTGGAGTGCTACCATTTACCAAAGGGTTAAAAATATATATATTCCCACCTCCTAATCCCCCTCCTCACCCCCTACCCTCACCCCAACCCCCACAACATTACGAATAAGGTCGAGATGGTTTTGTAGCCGGCTCAACTGGCCTTCCCTAGAATTCCCTAGAACAGTTACACGATCAAGTCCGATATTGTACGTATGATGAGCGGGGTGGGGGTGATAAATGGAACGTTGTATCTAATTGCACCCAAGTTGGACCTTCCCCCACCATGATAATTGCTTCCCGTTTATCTTCCCCTGACACTGGGTGACGATCAGACAAAGCCTCCAAGTAGCACGGTTGACTAAGTACGGTGCAAAAAAAATTTCAGCATACATACAGCCTGCTTTTCCTGCTCATAAACCTGTACATTTCATGACAGCAACATTCTTATATATCTTCTTCGCTTCGTACTCTTGCTATACTGAGAGTAATGTTACTTTTAGCTGGTTTGTATAAATATATAAATAAGCATTCTTTAAATGAATTGTGACAGTGAATCACATAATTTGCATTTAATCGCCAGGGGAGGTGAACCATTCTCGCTCTGGCATGTTTTTTTTTCTTCCAGAAAAGATATAACTAAACATAGCTACACATTTTTTTTTTTAATTTACATTTTAATCATAAATGTTACAATTACGTTGCATGTATCTTTGAAGGTTGAGCTTTCGTCTAAAAATCTGGGACTACTTTCGTAAATTACTTCCAGGGTGTTTAATGGCCAACTTTACCAAAGTCAGTAGTATGCTTTAATCCAACAGAAATTACCAGATGCCTGCCAGAATGGAAATGCTCACGCAAACGAGAACTGGCTCGGTGACAAGTGTGCTAACCACTCTGTTCTCAAGCCACCTCATATCTGGTGGGTGGACCGATTTTGTTTTCATAAATGTTTGCTGCTCACTACCAAGCAGAGGAGTGGACATGCAAGAGAAGCCTTTTAAGTTAAACAAAAAAACAAGAGATATTCACATGCTCAGGAATGTATATCGGTACGCTGTGCCACTGTGTTGTGTGCAAACAGATGCACAGCCACGCAGCTCTGTGATTTTGCAATAAACGTGCTAATATGTTAAACAGCTGTTTTAGCATACACTCAATATGTGTAATCGATGTTTTGTATGTGCTGCTAACCTGTATATGAGAAAGGACGATACTGCAACTATCAGCAGTATGAGGCTGAAGACGATCATTAAAACCTCCATGGTTGAAAATCCACCTGGTTAAGGTAAAAAACACGAGGAATTAGTTGTTTTCCATACTTCAGTCGTACTATATATAATATCGAGATAAACACGATACTGCCCGAGTAGGATTATGATATATAGTTAAATCAAATTATGATAAAATATGGTACACTCAGCCATATGATACTTATTGTCAAATACTGTGCAACGATATTCTTTATTAAATACTGTATAACAAATCGATATATCCAGCTCCTCCAGATTAGAATGTACCATAATAATAGCTATGCTAGTTCATATTTAAGTATATAATAACAATTTAAATGTGCATGTGCAGTTTCAATGATACAAATACTAACGCATCTCAAGACACTACGAAACGTGGGCATGGAGGCAAACGAAAAAAAAGCAAGGAAAAGAGTGGATCCAAGACAGGAGCCAGCCAGGATAAAGTTACTAAATAAATAACACGAATCACACACTGAGCACAATCACTGCTGGCCAGACAAATATGTTTGGCTCTCTGTCGTGCTGTCTTCAATATTTGCGAGTTGTGTTCACACCAGAGATGCAGGCCTCATTCTCAAATCCACACAGCGGGACGTCTTTGGGGATGGATCCCCCAGGCCACTGTATCTCCAGGCCTGGGACCTCAATAAGCTTACTGGATGCCCCATCGTAGCTGAGAACTACCTGCAAAGAAACATGTATGACAAATATTACTGAACAGGCTGTCGGTAAATGTGTCATTCATTATTAAAGAATTCTAAAAGCGCAGTGTGAACTGCACGATTGTATGTTGGGGTTATGTGAAAGATGAAGTGCACACCGAAAGATCTGAATGCTTGAGTTATGTGCAATCACGCTTAAAATAATAATAAAAAAAACACCTGGGGACTCTCGCAAATTATTGACTGCGATGAGTGTCGCTAATGTCACAGGCAGACATATGGAGGAACATCTTCATATCACTAAGTGTCTAGGTTTTAGAACCCAGCTAGAACTGGTGTCTAATTATGAATATTTAACAATGCACGGTGCCATATGGATACCCAGTATTTTAAGTATTATTTAACAATCATTTATACTTTGCCTCAAGCATGGAATATCGTTTTGCATCTTTTACTACGGTTTTAACTTCATCCTTTCCAGTAACAAGCAATATAAACAAATACTATTAATTAAAGAGAAATATAACATTTTTAAATAAAGCATTAAGATTACGTTTGTTGCTTCTCAATGCAATAAATGTATTTGTCGTTTCTAAAAAAAATGTTATGAACACACAAAATAAAGTTGGATAGTCAGGTTATTTGAACTTCTAGCAACAGACTGGTTAAAACATGGAGACATTCTTAAAATAAAACTTACATTAAACTCCCCAGTGTTCATGTCTGTCAGATCCCAAAGAGAAAAGTCAGTTTCCCTGTCACCGTTTCGGTCTATGGTGAACTCTCCAGTCACACCTAGAAAAAAATGTATCATTGTTAAAAAACATTTAATTTAAGTTTTGCACATCTGAATTAATGAGTTCTGGTATCTTGATCTGAAAATCCTCTCTTTCCTTCTTGGGCCGCAACACATTTCACCACCCAAAGCAGATTAAACCATATTTTGTTGTTGTTGTACCTTCAGATTTACCAAAACGGAGATTGGTATAAACTCTTTAAAACGTGAAGTGAAATGATTACATCGGGCATATTTTATCTGTGACTCTGAAACTCAGTACATTTCAGTGTGTCGCAAAAAAAGGTGAATAAATTCGAAATTCTAAACGTTGTGGCTTTCATGGCAATTACATTTATTTCACACAAGTGCTGAAAGAGCTCTATGCAGTCAGCCCAGCACTACATGTGTACACAAATGGGCAACATTTCCTGAGAATGCGTGAATACCAGTATTCATTCCAGCACAGCTTCACTCACCCAGAGCTCTGTAACTTAATCTAAATTAATAATGGGACTGAATAAACTTGCGTTTAATTACCGCGATACGTCCTGTTCCACATGTGCTTGGTAATTGCGTGACCATCGTGCACACCACCTCCCGAAGACAGCGTCTTGTTCAGCGCTGCCGTGTACATCATGATGGCGTCGTAAAAGGAGCCCGCTATTAAATTCATCTGTTTGCATTTGAACACAAAGAATAATGTGTTGAACCACATCCGTATGAATTAAAAAAACAGTTTAGCTCTCTTTCGGTTTATACACATCAGCATTAACAAGAATCTCAACAAAAAGGCCGTCGCGTTCTGTATTTGGCATTCCTTTGAATGTCTTTACAAACACGGTGCCGAAACAACCAATGTGATTTGAGCACATCTACACTCGAACATGTGAGCACGCACAGATGCATAATGCTGGAAGAGTCACGATGAAGTGTGATGTCATTATGGATGCACTATACAGTTATTTGTCAGATTTACAATCATAACTGTGTTTTACATATTCATGATAGATGCTTCCAAAAAAAACTGCTTAAAATTTCAATAACTGAGCAGCCCCAGAGATTTCATTGATTTCCACTGCAACACCTTGTTCCACAAAATGACAGCTATAATATTAAGGTGCCAGTCGAGCCGGACATTTATATTATATAATAATTACAAGTATTATCAGCAATGATCTATCTACTGCTTGATAAAGGGATCGAATCCACATTACATCCCCATCCCTCATGATCCTAAAGGGCCACAATCCATCTCGCTAGTGCACATGAGTTATCATTGCCCCTTCCCCCTCTCAGCCATGCTTTACTCCTTTAGCTGTTATTCCATCACCAGTCTTATCTCTTATCTTCCCTTCTAGCGATGTGTCCTGCCCAAGTCTGCTTACGTTTCTTAACAGTCAACATGACGTATTTAAGGTTCATTTGTTCTCTGATTCATGGGTTCCTGCCTGTCTCTCGGTGCAATTCCTAGGATGCATCTCTCCGCCTCCACGTTTCCAATGCATGTCATAGCAGGTACCATGGCCTAACTGAAAACGTTCTTCTTGAAGCACGTTGCTATATTTCTGTGTGAATCGTCTAATCAACATTCATAAAATCTCACAACTGCTAAGATACCTTCATCCAACAATATACAAACAAACACCATCCAAAGCTGCACATTCATTGAAGTGAAATGTTTTCTGTTTTCATCTTCGATATTATTGCTCGTTAACACTTTATATTTGGTACGCACGGGGTCACGCATACTCACCAGCGTGTCTTCAATCGTGAAATTGAACTGCTCCTTAGCCCGTTTCTTTAACTTCACAACAAAGTCTTTGTATTCGATGTTCTGAGGTTCACGATAAGAAATGATCATAACAGCCTGTGGAACAAACACGTTTTGCTTATAAATCTCACGTTACCACTGAACATAAATGCTGTTTAAGTCAGAGATTCCATCGTAGGTAGCGAGCAGTGTGTACCTTGTAGGTAGCTAATGGTGTGAACATTGTAGGTAGCGAATGGTGTGTACCTGGTAGAGAGTGAATGGTGTGCACCTTGAAGGTAGCGAATGGTGTGTACCTGGTAGAGAGTGAACGGTGTGTACTTTGAAAGTAGCGAACAGTGTGTACCTGGTAGAGAGTGAATGGTGTGTACCTGGTAGATAGCGAACGGTGTGTACCTCGTAGATAGACAACGGTGTGTAACCTCCGTAGGCAGAGTGAACAGTTGTTGTACCTTGTAGGCTTCCTTCGCCTGCTCATCAAACTCATCGCCACGTTTCCAGGGTTTGCGTGACTCTGAGACATTGCTCTCGCTCAGAGACTCGCTGAACGGATCGACGTAGAAGAAGACGTAATCGCCGGCTGTCATGCCCTCCGCGTGCGCTTGCACCATCGTCTGCCTGAACACGGCCGCCGAGCAGCAGAAGTACACGACTGAAACACAGTCGCGCGCAGAGGGATAAACAAAAAAAAACGCTTCGTGCTTTTACATGCATCTTGCCCAACATCGTGCCCATGGCAGTTTCATCGCACCGCAATGTCTGCTTCAATTTCGCATTCGTCACCAATTGGCTATATTGATGAGGACAGCACGTGGGAGTGAACGCAGATCAATAAGCTTCATCGTGTCTACTTAATGCGATATATACAGTAAACCCTCGCTATTCGCGAGTTTCGCATATATTCGGCGAGGTACCAAATGCATACTAATTCCCTATTCACGGCCCGCCGGACTCGAGTATCCGTGAGTGTATGTAGCGCCAGACCAGTGATACCGAGGAGCTGGGCGCAGGATGTTTGTTTCAATTTGAAGCTGCCTGCAAAGATCAGGCACACGCCACCTGGGCTGCCTGCTACGATCTCAGTCTCACAGTAAATCTCGTGCACCACGAATTTGCCGCTCCTGTGAACTCGCAATTGTGCATTTTTACTTTATACGTACTACACTTGCTTCATTGCCCCTAATCTTGGCTCTAAAGTGTATCGCGTTGCATCTCTCGAGGGGTCCCCCTCCCGAATTCCTCACCATCACCTCCACTATCGTCAAACCATTATCATCAAAGGTAATAATATAAACACATTGTTCTTTATAATGTATTCTTTATTTATTGTAGTCATTGTTATTAAACATTTACCATTTCACCCCTATGTCCACTCCTACCAGGAACTTAACCCCATTGTTCCTATTATAATAATAGGGTTTTCCTATTTTTTCTGGCAACAAAACTGAAACCTTTTTACAAGGAATCACGTGTGCATTAACCATAATACTTGTGGTCAAAATGCAAAAAAACACTGATAATATACACATTGTCCTTGAAACTGATTGGTCCACACCAGAGACGGCTTTCTTTTGAGCCTCGTCTCAAATGGTGCTAGACCAGAGGACGCCAAAAGGCGTACAGCTCAAAGACAATGCACCATCAAAGTAATGAGGGCTCGGGGTAAGCATCTACATCATTAGACCTCCTTTGCCAGTACCAAAATATAATAATAGGGTTTTACCTTTTTTCTAGCAACAAAACTGAAACCTTTTTACAAGGAATCATGTGTGCATTAACCACAATACTTGTGGTCAAAATGCAAACAAAAAACATACTCTGATAGAGTACAGATGCATTTTTGCCAGCTTGATGTGAAAATTCAGGAGGTGGGTGCTGGAGCTGGACTGTTATACAGCCACTTAAAAGTTGTATTGTAAAATATGGGACGACCTCCAGTTGGGAAGACATTAACCGAAGCGGGGGGGGGGGGGGGGGGGTTGACAGAAGGTCTTGGTTGCTGAAGTGGAAATAACGTGGAGAGGCTTATCGTGAGATTAAATGCAAGAGGTCAAAAGGGGTGAGTGTCCATGGAGGATCTTGATGACAATTGAGAGTGACCTGAGATTAGATTGAAAGCCACTAGAGTAGCCTGGTAACAGGGATAATGGTTTCTTGTCTGTAGATGTTGGCAAGAAGTTAGGCTACTAAATTTTTGCTCGTTTTGAGCTTAACAGGTGAGGAATTTGGGGACATCATAGAAGAGAGATTTAGTTGCAATAACCAAGGCAATTAAACGGATCTCGGCAGAAAACCTGACAAAGAATATTAAAATTTGGCTGATAGGATATGCTGGAAAGTTTAAATATAAGAGAGAGAAGGATGTTTGGGAAGATGCCAAGTTTTTGCAACGCTCTAGGTAAGCTCGAGGTCAGAATTAATGAGTACATTCAAATTTATATTCTTGGTTCTTTCGGTAAAGTCGTGTAGAAGGGGAACAATAACATATTACAAATATAAAACAATACAATTCTCACGACGTTTCGACTGCAACACAAGCAATCATCAGGTGTGAAAACCACAGCAAGAAAATTTGAAAAAAGTGGCGGTTATTTTTCATGTTAGCACCACGGAGAGCGATTTGACAGTTTGTTCAGATGGACGAGTCCATCTATGTTCGGAAAAGAGGGGGAGACGAAAATAATGGATGCGGTCTGAAAGCCACCATAAGCGTGAACAATCAATTAAGACCCGAAATGGTTTATCAAATCCTTCCAATGATTGCTAAGCCAGAATCCATCTTCTCGGTTGAAATTGTCTCTGTGTTTGTATACGTGGATAGCCTCATGAACGAATCTCTCATGGTAGCCAGATGGTTTGCAAAGAACCTCTGTCTTGGAGAAATCAATGTCATGTGAGCCTACTGAATTATAACAGTGATCTGCCACGGCCGAGCTGTTGGTCCTACCGTGTCTTAGGTCTGCTTTGTGTTCACGAATGCGGTCCGAGACATGTCGTTTGGTTTCTCCAATGTAACTACTACCACAGAGGCAACTTAGTTTGTAGACGCCAGGGTACTGTATGTCCGGAATCACATCTTATACAGACGGAACCAGATCACGGATTTTATGTAATGTGTTTAATCGGACCTGGATCTTGTGTAACGTAGATGGACTCGTCCATCTGAACAAACTGTCAAATCGCTCTCCGTGGTGCTAACATGAAAAATAACCGCCACTTTTTTCAAATTTTCTTGCTGTGGTTTTCACACCTGATGATGATTGCTTGTGTTGCAGTCGAAACGTGAGAATTTTATTTTTTTATATTTTTATTATTGTATTGTTTCCCTTCTACATGACTTTACCGAAAGAACAAAGAATATGAATCCCTGCAGTCACGAAAGCTTTAAATCAAAAAGAGTACATTCAGATTATACTTTAACCGAAAACAATTATTTGCAATCAGGACTCGGGTTTTCTGTTCATTCTGTACATTTTTCATTGTTAATCACCCCCATCATTTATATTTTTCAAAAAAAAAACCTGTCACAATGATAAAGTACAAAAACGACATTCGGAAAGTATGACTGAGCCAAGATCTACAAACTCATATGCTACGTATTCATGTGCACCTACATTCAGAATGTATCCATTTTTCCTGATACTGTGCCCTTAGGCTGTTTGGCCATTAGGAAATGTATATATATAAATAACATGTATATGGCTTGTTTCAACGTTCATTAGTAACAGGATGTTATTTTATTAAGTGCGGGCAACTTTAAAGAATGTTTAAAGTAAATACCGTTTCTATTCATGACTATTAATTGGTTTTGACAGCAGAAGCATTTTGGAAAATGATCCAACTGAATGTCAAATGAACAAAAATGCATTCATGCTGCAGTATGTTTATTTGCTATCAGTACACTTATTCTATTTTTTTATATTAAAGTTTATATTCAATTTTTTTTAAGTACTGTAATTGTGTGAATGATATAGTGAGCATACAATACATCACTAATATGCTCAGATTTTGGCGTGAATCGAATTCAAATCTTTTGACATTTGCCTCATGTCTCCCTCAAAACATGTGGGGGGCCTTCCCTGCAGAGAAAATATCGCCTATACACAGCAAGAAAAGCTCGTCAGCATTTAATTGATTTTATCGCTGGTGCTATGTCTGCGATAAACATAACACTTAACAGGGTCACGGTAAAATCCCTCTGCTAAGCAATGGCTAATGCTTACCTAATGTATCTTGTGGACATACAAGAGACAGAGAGAGTAGAATGTCATGGCTGAATGACATCACCCGATTACATCTGAAATGACGCACTTTAATAAAGAATTAAAGCTTTCGTGACTGCATAAATTACTCATTGTTTTTTTTTTCGGTAAAGTCACGTATGTAGAAATACCATAAAATTATATTATTTTATGGTATTTCTACATAACGTGACTTTACCGAAAAAAACAATGAGTAATGACGCACTTTATTTAAAAATGCCGAATGTATAAATCATGCTGATTTTAATGTCTGCTGTAATCACAATAGTTTTTCAAGGATCATATATTTAATTCAAAACACAGAGGCCCCAGTGCGCACCGCTGCACGGAAACTCAAACCGCAGATGTAAAATTGCAATTGCAAATGCAGTTCTCTGTCATTACAATGTTCTGTGAATTCCTGAGAATCCTTGGATAACAGTGAAAAGAATTGTTCCCCTGGTCTGTTGAAAATAACAGGATTCACAGGGAGGTAGGTAATGGATAATAAAAGCTCTACATTCAACAGCGCGAAGAGTCCGTGTATACTCTCAATGTTACATTCTCAAAACGTTTAGTCTACTCAGTTACGGTGGACATGTGAGTAAACAAGCTTTCTCCAGCTAAACACGTTCGGCGCAGCTAGCTGCTGTAGAGCGTATAACATTTCCATTGTTCAGGCTACGTCATACTGACCAATAACTCATGAGAAGAACAGGTGGCAACAACGCTGAATTGTTTTAAGTAATCACACACTTAAAACGAAGTGCCAATCACATATCGGTTCGGCAAAGTGTCTCTATTTTAAGAGCCCTGCGCAGCCATCAACGATGGGATGTAATCCTTTGCACAGCACCCAATTCCAGAAAGCAACACGACACCACAATGACTCATTGTGAGGCCTTGCTTGAAAAAAAATATATAAAATAAAATAATTATCTCATTGGGCTCTAACCTTTGGTAAAATAAAAGCAACTCACCTATTTGAAAGTATTTATAAGTTCAGTCGACTGAAGTAAAAAAAAGTTTCACTATTTGTTATGCTGGGCCTGTTTAAATGTAAACCTAGAGCAAGTGGCAATTACTGCTAAGAAAATAATTTCAAAAAGACCCCTTTCACATCAAATAAATGAATTTACTTTGTAGAGTTATTTTTACAAATAGGTTGTCTTTATTGCTTGGCTTGATATTACAATATGCAGTCACTGCTGCGCTCTAAGACACCAGTTACTTTCTCAGTTTTCATTGGCAAGACAATTTAAGTATTTAGTCTTCGTCTTGCAGTTGCAGCTAACTCACCAAAGTGGACTTTGTAAGGCAAAACGGAAAGCACTTATGCTCAATGGAGCTATTGTATTACCTTGGCTTCAAGCTGGGGTTGTGGGATGGAGCTGAATATTTTTGTTACGGG